TTCTCACACTAAATAATGATTTATATTTAATACATAAGAATTGATTTAACTTTGCTTAAATTGAGATAATTTTATATTTATTAATTTAATATAATGTATTAGAATTAAAATATAAAAAAATAACTTAATTTGACGTAGTATAAAAAATTTAAAACCTAACCTAACTTAGCATTAATTAAATTTAAACAATATCATTTAGAAGAAAAGATAAACAAAACAAAACTCTTGATATAAATATTCGCAGGTGACTTAATGAAAACGCAATTATTTATTAAAATGTTTTGAAATAAAAATAAAAAAAGTAAATTTATAAGATAAGAGTGAATATAATTTTTTACCTTTTTTTTTTTCCGTTTTGTTTCCTATTCTTCCACGCCAACCGTTTCTCAAAATGAGGAAGAGAGAGAGAGCCTCCCATGTCCCTTTTTTTCTTCATAATATTATTTATTTATTTATTTTTGCATTCTTTATTCTTTCACATTGGACTGCTGTAGCAACATGAGTCACTGTGCACACCACACTTCTCTCTCTTCCTCTCTCTTCTCTTTTCCCAATTTTAAAATTCTGCTGATGATGGTGCAGTTGATGAGTACTCCATTTAAATAGTTTAATTATGGTTTTTGGGTTCCTTTTTTAATCAAAAAATATAAAGCATATACTAAATTAACCATATGTTTCCAGCAAATGGTGGGTGTCTCCATGTTGGATCTCTCTCACTTCTTCTTTTTCTTCTTCACCTTGGTGTTCTCCTTCAACACTCTAGCTAACTCACTTTCTCTTCCCTTCAACACTTCAACATCACTTGACTCTGCTGTTACTAACCTGAACTCACTCCCAACGTTTCTTTTCTCTTTGTTTTCATTGCATATTATGTAACGTTGCCACCTTTGACTTGTTTTGTGTGTTTTTTCTTCTTCCTCTTTCCTCCTTTGAGTTGTCTCATGGCTCATGTGCTTATCTCTTCTTAATGTCTGAATAAATATGCACAAACCTATGTCTCAAAATCTTCACTTTTCTTTGCTCTTTCTTCTGAAAATCAATCCTTGGTCCTTGTGTTAACTGTTCTCTATGAAGGCTGATATATCAACCAACTTCTCATGATGTGAAGCATTTTAGATTTTGTGTTGGGGGCGTCTTTATCTTTCATAAGGGTAAGCATATATTCTTAAGATGGATGTTAATACTTTAGGAAATCATTCTGGTCTGATTATAGTTTTTATATTAGCATTATCCTCGTGGCTGAAATTCACACTAATCTTCTATTTTTCGAAATTTTGTTAATCGACAAATGGAAATGCCTTGGTTAATTGGTGTCTTACACTTCTCATACAAGTCAGAAGATTTATCTGTGATTTAGTCATTTATTAGAGTTTTGATTCACTCATTTGCTAGATTTCATTTTCATTTTCAAAGAGAGTACTTGTTGCTGATACTTTTGTCTGGATTTTCATTCTGCAGTTACTGGAAATTCATTTGACTAAGGGGATTGAGGGTTTCCCTGATCAATATTCAACAGAGGACAGATAGAAGGAGCATTTCCAAGAAATGACCTATTATGATTAGTGAAAAAGCATCACCTATCCCAACCTTTGATAGTGGCTTTTGTTTCAGTTACCATAAAAAGATGAGAGTTCTGGAGTTATCACCCTCTGATGGCAATGGTTCCTCTGATAATGGAGATGAACCTTTACCTCAGGATGCAGATTATAGCAATGTTCTGAGTCTCAGCGATGAGCTAGAGACTTCAATCTTGGCAAGATTTCCAAGATCACAGCACTGGAAACTATGCTTTCTCAACAAGCGGTTCTTAACTCTAGCAAGGAGTGGTGAGATCTACAAAATCAGGAGAGAGTTAGGATTCAAAGAGCCTTCGGTTTTCATGTTAGCAAGTGGGGATTGCAATTGGTGGGGAATGGAGTGGCCTTTTAAATCAAGCAAGAAGCTCCCTCCTATTCAATCAGATTATAGTTTTGAGTTTGGAGATAAGGAGTCATTTTGTGCAGGTTCCCACTTATTAGTCTCAGGCAAGGAGATTGATGGAACTGTTATTTGGAGGTTTGATTCAATAAGAAACGAATGGCTCAAAGGGCCATCTATGATCAACCCTAGGTGTCTTTTTGCATCAGCCACAAGTGGTGCCTTGGCTTTTGTTGCTGGGGGTCTTGATGCAAGAGCTTACTCCTTCCAAATCTTGGATTCTGCTGAGAAGTACAATTCTGAAAGCCAGTGCTGGGAACCCCTCCCAAGGATGAACAAAAGGAGAAAGTTTTGTTCAGGCTGTTTCATGGATAACAAGTTCTATGTCCTTGGAGGACAAGATGAACATGGGAAGGACCTCACTTGTGGGGAATTCTTTGATGGGAAAACAAACAATTGGACCTTGATTCCTGATATGTGGAAAGATATTCCACTTTTTGTTTCACAATCTCCACCTCTTCTTGCTGTTGTGAACAATGAGTTGTACACACTGGATTCTTCTTCCAATGAGCTGAAAATGTATGAGAAGGGAAGCAACTCATGGAAGACTTTAGGAGTGGTTCCTGTGAGGGCTGATGCACAAGGAGGTTGGGGTGTGGCATTTAAGTCTCTTGGTGATGAGTTACTTGTTATTGGTGCACCTTCTGTATCCCACTCCGAGCGTGCCTTGTCTATGTACACATGTTGCCCTGATCCTGATGATGAGAAATTGAGGTGGAGGCAAATTGGATGTGGCAACATTCAGCTCAATCACTTTATCCGAAATTGTGCTGTGATGGGAACCTAAATTTTCAGCAACAAGAGCTTGGAATCAATATCAAAATAAAACTTGGAGGTTAATCTGGAGTGTTGTCTCTAATACAAGCTGCATTCATTTGATGATTTTATCTTTGTTTCTGTTATGACACATGTTGTCACTTTGAAACAACTTATTGTTAGGAAGCTTGTTGATGTATCTTCTACCTTTCATCTTTAACTTAAGTAGGAGTGAAAATGGCAAGTATTGTCCTATTATTGTGGGTGAAGAAAAACGGATTATGAGATTCAAAGCTCAAATGCTACTTTTTCCCGCTTGTTCTGATGCTGATTATGTCAAGATCTCAAATCATGTTATTCAATATCAAATTTGAATCATTTGCTTCATTGAGTGAGTTACCATATTTATTTTATGTGCTATAATAGAAATAATGTTGGAACTAAAAATCTTGAGTACATTAATCAAATCCTTTGTCACTAAGTTGAATCTTCAAAGTTGCCATACTTCAAAAAAAAAAAAAAAAAAAAAAAAAAAAATGCTTCCAGTTCTATGTCTCCTGTTGCCATACTAATGTATCAAGGTAATCCGATTTAGTTATGTTAAGACTCTTATCAGAAATATTTACCACTGGTATGTTTTATCTATTAGAATGCGATAGGACTTCTAATGTTTTTACTAAGTTTTGGAACCAAGAGTTGGCTTATTTTTTAATTCTTCCTTTATTCTTTAATGGGGAGAAATATCGTCTAAAATCGTGAACACAACAACAAATAATAAGCAGAAGAAAACAAATTTTCTCCGACTTACAAGAATCAATACAAACACCAACATATATATAGCAGGAAAATAGAAATCACAAATGAATAATTAACACCAAAATTCTGTTGGAAAACAATTCAAATTTCCAAATTCATATATATGAGATATTATTTAGATTTTAAAAGATATTGATTCTTTAAGAATATTATTTAGAATTGAAATATATTGTATTTATTTTAAAAAATTATTTTCTCTTTTAAGGTTATATGTAAGGTCAATAAATAAAGACTTATGAGATGAGAAGAATTACCTAACCTATAGAGGAGGTCACAACCTTAAATGAGAGACGAGGTCATATGAAGGGCGCTTTCCAAATTTCCCCAAAAAACTTGTGAACAATGATTTTCAAGTTCCACTAGAAAACTTGTGAGTAAGTGATTTTCAAGTTTTACCCACAAAATTTCAAGGGGGGATTATATATATATATATATATGTGTGTGTGTGTGTGCGTGTGTGTAATATATTTGAGATAAAAAAAAATGAACATCCTTATGGACGTAGGCATGAACGACTAAATCACGTTAAATAAATTTGCATAAAAGAAAAGAATATTCTTTTGTTCCCAACAATGGTATCAGAGCTCATGATTGGTGGAACCTGGTGGCCTGTCACTTGAGTATTGAAGATTGGCATAGGACGATTCCAATACCCAAGAAATAGATACAAGAAATATTATAGAATAAAAGTATGGTTGAAGATGATTGTGACAAGCATCAATGGCAACAAAAAGGTCAAATTTGAAAATTTTAATCAAGGGAGGAATTGTTGGGAAACAATTCAAATTTCCAAATTTAAATCTGTGAGATATTATTTAGATTTTAAAAGATATTGATTCTTTTAGGATATTGTTTAGAATTGAAATATATTGTATTTATTTTAGAGATTTGTTTCTTCTTTTAAGATTATGATATAAGGTCAATAAATAGAGATTCCTGAGATGAGAATAATCACCCAACCTATAGAGGAGTCACCGCCTTAACTGAGAGAGGAGGTCATATGAATAAGGGTTTCCAAGTTTTACCAGAAAACTTGTGAATGAGGATTTTCAAGTTTCGCCAAAACACTTGTGAAGAAGGAGTTTTCAAGTTTCACCCATAAAATTTGTGAAGAAGGAGTTTCCAAGTTTCACCCATAAAATCTATGAGGAAGTAGTTTTCAAGTTTTACACACAAAACATGAAGCGAGGATTTTTAGGATATAATATATATATATATATATATATATACGTTAAATAAATTTGTGTGATCTTTTTCTATTTTTTCTATGGTGTTATTTTAATATGTTTCTCATCATCATTATTGTGCGTAAAAAAAAAGAAGATTTTTTTGTTCCTAACAGTGGTATCAAAGCTCATGGTTCGTGAAACTTGGTGCCCTGTCACTCAAGTATTGAAGATTGACATACAAAGATTTCAAAACACAAGAAATGGAGACAAAAAATACTGTAGAGTAAAAGTATGATTGATTATAATTGTGACAAGCATCCATGGTAACAAGAAGGTGAAATTTGAAAATTTTAATTGAGGGAGGAATTGTATGGAAACAATTCAAATTTCCATATTCAAATCTCTGAGATATTATTTAGATTTTAAAAGATATTGATTCTTTTATGATATTATTTAGAATTGAAATATATTGTATTTATTTTAGATATTTATTTCCTTTTTTAAGATTATGATATAAGGTCAATAAATAAAGACTCCTGAAATGAAAAGAATCACCCGACATGTAGAGGGGTCATCGCTTTACATGAGAGAGGAGGTCATGTGAAGGAGGATTTTTAAGTTTTGCTAGAAACATTGTGAATGAGGGTTTGCAAGTTTTGCTAGAAAACTTGCAAGGGAGGGATTTTCAAGTTTCACCCATAAAATTTGTGAGGAAGGAGTTTCTAAGTTTCACCCATAAAACTCGTAAGGAAATGGTTTTCAAGCTTTATCCACAAGACTTGAGGGAGGATTTTTAGGATATATATATATATATATATATATATATTTGAGATAAATAATGAACATCCTTACGAAAGTAGGCATAGAGACTGAATCACGTTAAATAAACATGAACATCCTTATGGATGTAGACGTGTGTGATCTTTTTCTATTTCTTTTATAGTGTTATTTTAATATGTTTCTCATCACTACTATTGTGCATAAAAGTAAAGAAGATTTTTTTTGTTCCCAACAGTGGTATTAGAGTTCATGGTTCGTGGAACTTAGTGGCTTGTCACTTAAGTATTGAAGATTGACGTACAACAATTCCAATACCCAAGAAATGGAGACAAGAAATACTGTAGAGTAAAAGTATGATTGAAGATGATTGTGACAAGCATCCATGGCAATAAGAAGGTAAAATTTAAAAATTTTAATCGAGGGAGGAATTGTTGGGAAACAATTCAAATTTCCAAATTCAAATCTCCAAGATATTATTTAGGTTTTAAAAGATATTAATTCTTTTAGGATATTGTTTAGAATTGAAATATATTGTATTTATTTTAGAGATTTGTTTCCTCTTTTAAGATTATGATACAAGGTCAATAAATAGAGACACCTAAGATGAGAAGAATCATTCGACCTATGGAAGGGTTACCACCTTAAATGAGAGAAGAGGTCATATAAAGGATGGTTTCCAAGTTTTGCCAGAAAACTTGTGAATGAGGGTTTTTAAGTTTCACCAGAAAACTTGTGAGGGAGGAGTTTTCAAGTTTCACTCATAAAACTTGAAAGGAAGTAATTTTCAAGTTTTACCCACAAAACTTGAAGGGGGATTTTTAGGATACATAGACACACACACACACACACACACACACACACACATATATATATATATATATATATATATATATATTATTTGAGATAGAAAACGAACATTCTTGTGGATGTAGGTTTGAAGAGTTGAACTATGTTAAATAAATTTCTATAATCTTTTTCCTATTTATTTTATAGTGTTATTTTAATATGTTTCTCATTATTATTATTGTGTGTGAAGGAAAAGAAGATTTTTTTTTTCCCGACAGTGGTATCAAAGCTCATGGTTCATGGAACCTGGTGGCCTGTCACTTGAGTATTGAAGATTGACATACGACAATTCCAATACCCAAGAAATGGAGACAAGAAATACTACAGAGTAAAAGTATGATTGAAGATGATTGTGACAAGAAAGTCAAATTTAAAAATTTTAATTGAGGGAGGAATTGTTGGGAAATAATTCAAATTTCCAAATTCAAATCTCTGAAATATTATTTAGATTTTAAAAGATATTGATTCTTTTAGGATTTTTTTTGGAATTGAAATATATTGTATTTATTTTAGAGATTTTTTCTCCTTTTAAGATTATGATGTGAGGTCAATTAATAGAGACTATTGAGATGAGAAGAATCACCCGACCTGTAAAGGGGGTCATCGCCTTAAATGAGAGAGGAGGTTATATGAAGGAGGGTTTCCAAGTTTCGCCAAAAAACTTGTGAATGAGGTTTTCGAGTTTCACCAGAAAACTTGTGAGGGAGGGATTTTCAAGTTTTACCCATAAAATAAACATCCTTATAGACGTAGGCATGAAGGGCTGAACCACGTTAAATAAATTCGTGTGATCTTTTTTTTTTTTTTATGGTGTTATTTTAATATGTTTCTCATCATTATTATTGTGCGTAAAAGAAAAGAAGATTTATTTGTTCCTAACAAATTTTAATGTGGAAACCTCCATAATATGAGAATAAAAGTCACAAGTCATCCAAATGAAAGCAATAAGCTTACTAAGATTATTAAGGCTATAAGAGATTCTTTAACAACTATACAAAATAGTGATTACAATAAACCAAACAAACCATCAATGCTTATAAATGAGAAATAAGATAATAAAAAAAATCAACCCAAAATAGAGCTACTACAATGAGGAATATTTCTCAAACTCAACCTTTTTTCACTTATTTGACAGTTGAAAACCAAGAATCAAGTTTGTTGAGCTTGTTTAGAAGACAACCTAATTTAATGGTGAAAAAAACATTAATCACTATTGGATAGTGGCTATCTGGTCATTCAAAGTGAGACAAATAGAGGTATCAAAGTGAACCAATTTAGCTCACCCGAGTTACATTTAAAATGGTCTAACTTAGTTCACTTTTTGTTAAGTCAAGAAAAATTCAACTCAACTCGAATACCTAGGTTTGTGGGTTGGCATACAAATTCTTAAAAATAAAAAATATAAAAAAATTATAACACTTCAATATTTAAGTATAAAGTCATTTAATGATTTAAGTCTTTTTTAATGAGTTAAATAGGTCAATTTGACTTTAGCCAGTTTGGCTCACAAGTCAAGTGAGCTAGGTTGTTGTTGGGCTAAAACCATAATGATTTGAGTTTTTCCAGTTTGACTCGATTCAAACCCGTGGTGGGACAAGTCGACTCATCATGTTCCAACTCACTTTGGCACCTCTTTGGTGAAATGTGGGATTACTTTTTTTTCCTCTCCAATAGATGTTCTCACCTAGTATAATGAGTCTCCCTTTCCTTGATTTGCCTTTTCTCTCCTTGGATAAGGGAGAATATATGGACATGTACATTTGGGCCTTTCTCCAC